AAAGAACTGTTACATCAACAACCACTTGAAAAATTTCATCATCTACAATGAAGAGATAAACCTCTCAGAAGTTCATGAAAAAAGTAGTTAAAAAGAACCAGAAAAATTATGCTGTAGTGTATAAAGAAATATAATAGCTCTGAACTGAAACTAGTTCCATTCCTTTTGTTCATAATTAAATTTTCATTCTTCTCTCAGCTGGTACTGGGATTAGAAACCCTGCAGGCAGACACAATTCTAGGTAAGCTAAGTTTACTGCAAAACAAGGAAAGCTGCAAAGTAGAAATCCAGTAATTATTGAGTGTAAACTACAAGCCATATTTATCATGGAACCAGCAAGCAGACAGTGCACTCTTCCATCCTTGTATTATAGTGAGCTAAATGCTTTTGTGCAGGACAGCAATTAGCACTTGTTTCTTATTATTTGTTTATTCATTTATTTATTAATGTATTATTATTGTCCTGTTCCAGTCTAGTAGACTTGAAAATAAAAACATTACAAAGATGACCATAATATTCTTTACCTAATAATCATTTTGAGTTTTGGATGTTTTTCATTATAATATCTTCTTCATCTTTCAACTATCGCTATGCAAAGCTTTCCATTTCTTTTAACCTATCAAACATGTGTTTAGATGAAAATAATTGGGTTGCTTTTCGTGGACTCATATTTTGGACAAAAATGCTCTTCTACTGCAATTGTGTTTGTATGTGTATTCAAAAACAAGTCCGTTGATATGGTGTACAATGTGAAAATTACGTTACATTTTGTATATCTATCCAAGGAAATCCTCTTTATATTCATATATGAACTATTTTTATGAGATGGAGAATGGCAAGCATGTAAACTATTCCTCCAAGTGTTCTCTTGACTGTGCAAAGGATAGCCTTACAAAAACTCTTTCAAAGATAATCTAAAGCTAAATAAACTAAAGATATGCCTCAAATAAGGGTCTAACTGTAATAGAGCTTTGGGGTTATTGTGGAATAGTCATTCCTGTCAAATGGAGATAGTAAATCACAATCCTTGGATATTGGCCTTTCATCTTTCTCCTGAGGGATCAGATATTTTTATTTGTTCATTATCCTTTAGAGGCCATTGTTACCCTATGTGATCACATCTCCTTTAATTGGTCCTCTGCACATTCCTCAACATATTGCAGGTTATAGCGACATCATTTATAAGGAAACTTTATGCCTTCTATTCATGACCTATATTTGTTTGCCTATAGCACTTGCTATGCCCCAGCCAAGTTCCCTTCACTACCCCGTTCTTGTGAGGTGAAGGATGAGTGATTCTTTTGTAAGGTTGCTACAAAAAAAAACCTCAATGTCAATTGTGTGCAAGATGTTTGTACTCAAACAATTCTAAGCACAAATATTTAAACATTATAAGGTGAGTTCACATGACATTTATTGAACAATATTCCCAAATAGGAATTGTACCTGAGAAGATAGAAAGACTGACAGATAGACAGAGAAATATATTTCAAATGTGCCAATCTATATCTATATATGTATCTTAAATGTAAATGCACAAAGATATGCATGCATACATGCACAAAACATCAATCGCACATCATCTTAAGTATGAGACTTAATCCCATACATTCTGTTTTATTCCTTTCTAAATATACTGAGCTGTAATAAATCTTATTCTAGCATTTGCATGTCTTTCTNCCTTTTCATCACATTTGAAGCACTTGCAGTTGACCTGCTTTTATGGTCGTTTGCAGATCCCCATGGTCATGTGACCATATTTTGCCAAAATTGCATTTCTGGTTTTCAGCAAAACCAGCCCATAGTGAACCATTGCAGCTTAACAACTATCATGACTTATGACTATGCCAGGGAGGCTTCATTATGATTGTAAGCCGAGGACTACCTATGTAGATATGATGAACAGAGAAGTTGTTTTTTCATATATTTCCCTCCATCTAGATATAGTTCCATTAAGGACTGAATGTTGAGTGTGATTACCAGAGATAACTGCATATCTATTTTAACCTTGATCAAATAAAGCAATTTTATATTACATCCTTTTCTTACCATATTATTTTTTCTTTCTTTTCTATTTTCCTTTCTGCTTTTTTTCTGTACTATTTTTTCTTTTTATTGTTTTATTTTTAGTTTGTATTGTTATTAATTATAATTTTTAATAAAATGATCATACAAAAAAGATCTGCAGTTTGTTTTTGAGAATCATCCCTATACATTTTCTTGTTAGTTTGGCAGTTTCTGAATATTGATACTAGTGCAACTTTTACACTTTGTTCTGCATTTTAAAACTAGCTCCCTTAGCATCACCAATTTGATTAACTTGTATTTCTGTATACAAGCTGGAGATATTTTTAACATGCAGTACAACTCTTCTTTGTATTATTTTATAGTCTTTGGAACAAGTTATCCCATTAAAGAGCTTTATTCCAGTCATAAGAATCAGTTTACCAGTTAACCTACTTTCTTACAAAATAATTATGGCTTAATTCCTTTCTTTCTGATACTTTGAACATTAGGATACAGACATCGGAGGCTATAGTCTTCATTAAAGTTCTTCCTAATTTTTTTTGAATGGTTTAATGGGAAAATTCAATTTATTCTGTCTTGAAATGCATAAAGTCCTGTCTGAAATTTTAATTTCTGGATTTTTGTCTTCGGCTTCCACAGGTTTTAATTTGAAGTCCTGACTGAAACCAGAGTGCTGTAGCACAACACATTCTCAGTCTTTGTGAGACACACTTTCAGGAGAAAATACCGGAAGAGTAAAAAATGGCTTAATTAAGTAATTTGTTCTTTTTACTAATGCAAGAAATTTTAACAATGAAGACGGCTGTTACAGGATGCAGCAATCTAGCTCTAGAATTTAAACATTGCATTTTACACAATAATTGAAATAGAGCCTTCCAAATTATGTCATAAATATGGGGTTTGGTCTGAGATGACATGCTGAGGAAAGACAATGGTTTCAGAAGATCAGGCAAATAAACAGATGGGCTATCTTAGTAGTGGAGTGAAGGATAATTAGCCATTTTAAAGAAAGGTCAACTTTATCAGAATACATCTATGCCTATGATCTGTGCTACACTACCAATAAAGTCCAAGGAAATTGTTTTCCAAAGCCACTGTAGGGAATGAATGCAGCAGTCTTAGATGCTGGATAGTCAGAAAATTTGTGTAGCAACAAATGTCTACTTTTACACAAGGCCAGAAAATTAGTTTTTTTAAATTATGGGTAGTTCTTGAGAAACACGAAGCTACTTTATAATGGTTCAAAGTTACAACCAATACCTCAAAACTACACACATCCCTGTTTCAAATGTATAATAGCTGCAATGGTCCCACAGCCTCCTAAGCAGCTCTAAGGCATCTCTCTCAATATGGATTCCTTTTTGTGTGCTTGCTTACTCTCTTGTAATATTTCCCTCCAGTGAATGTAAATACAAACACTAATTTCCCTTTATCAATAATCCCAGAATTGAGATAGGATTCCAAAGAGTGGTAAAGTAGCAAAAAAGGCTTATAAAATTTATTCCTTTTTCCCAGCTTCTCATGAATTGTGTTCAAGAAATCTTCCCCACCATTTGGGCTCACCTGGCTGTTTGGGAGTGGTATTCTTCCAATGCAGTAAGTACTGTAAGTTCAGGGGAAATTTCTTAATAAACCTTTTTCAAAATTTAGTTCCATACTGGCATATCCCTTAATGGTCTTGTTATTTGGTACTTATCATGCAAATTCTAAATTAACCATCAATGCACAGTTTAAAGATAAGTCCACATTCAGAGCCTCTCATTACCTCAACCCTTCTCTTTCATTTTTTAAATCATAAATATTTTATTCATTTTATTCATTCATTCATTCTTTATTTTATTGATTAAATTTTTATGCTGCCCATCTCCCCTACAGTGCCACATGATGTTCATACAAATACACTTATACATAAACCTCATATTCCATTTTAGAAGGAGATATTCACCAATCACATTCTTATTCATTTTTGCATCTCCAAATGCCNAAATAAAATAAAACCTTTAACCAAATTTGTGTCTTGACAGAATGGGTTGGACTGTCATTAACTGGATGGAGTCATGTTAGAGAGAGAGAGAAAGAGAAAGTGTTCCAAAGCCAGAAGATTAAACCAATTATTTTGTCTCTTATGGGTAGCATCTGAAAAATCTAGAGAGCACTGACAGATGAGATAGAGAGAGAATAGATCCAAAAGAAAAAGGATAGGGAAGGGAGGCAGGCTATTTCATGCTGATATTATTTTGTGATAACTCAGGGATGAACAGGTAGCACTTCTCTTGACAGATAGGTAGTTTTTGTTTAGTGACCACAAGTAGAACTGGCACCTGGTCATTAGCAAAGCATCCACTAAGTGAAAAATCACTGTGACTGTGCTTACAATTTTGTTTCAGCTTTCCTTTGCTTTATAGCTTCAGAAAGCTATGACCCTGGAATAGTCTGGTGAGTCCAGATAGTGGGAAAGATCTTTGGGATTTGACTCACGAGGAAACCAGGTAAAAGAACAATCCTAAGCCCCCAAAACAAGAAGCTGGTTGTCTGAAACAAAAAGGTGCAATATTATATAATTACAGGCCCATGGCATGAGTATTCCTGACCACTGAAATTAGGACTGAAGACAGTCTGTAGTTTAAAAAACTAGTAATATTTGTGGGCTTGAAATAATTCTGCTCTGCTACAATGTAAGAATCAGCTATAAACATTCCTGGAATAGGAAGACCAAGGGGAAAACAAGAGGCTTTAAAAAAACCTCTAGTTAATTCACTAGTGATCCAGGTCACACTTTCCAACTTCCTTTTCACCACATTTTCTAGGCTGCATCGATTTACCCTTTGGCCTTTCTGACATGGTCATTTCTTTCCCTAACGCCGTTAACCTAAGCAACGGTGCAGACACAGCTAATTGCGCACAAGCACAAACCGTGCCGTCTCAAGAGAGGCACCGCCTTCTGAACACGTGTCTCTTTGCAGCCAGGTTGCCTGTCTTCACACTGTCCCAACCTAGCAGTTCGCAAAGAAAGCGCCGGCTCCTGCTTTCAGCCCAGGCACCCAACCAGGCGGAGAGCCGGCTTCCGCGCGGGGGTCTTTCTTGTCGAGAACGCCCGCGAAGCGCGGGAAAAACCGGCAACTTCATGGAGGAACCGGGGCAAGTCGCCGAGAGAGAGGAGAGGGTGGATTGGGGCTACGAAGAAGGTAAGCAGGCGGCGGTCGGGGGGAGGGGAGCTGGGTTGAGTTTGTGGTCTGCGACCAGTCGGAGGAATGGGAGGGAGTAGGACAAGACTGAGGGTAAAGTAAAGCCCAGGCTGACTCTTGTACCCCATCAATATGTGCAGGTAATACTTGCCTTCGTTATCAGATGCTGTCTGGGGTGTTCGATAAAGCAATTTTCTTCCGACGAAAACGAAAGGTTGCCAGGTGAAGCCAGCTTTATCCCAAAGTGAGATATTTGTTTAGAGGTAAAACAAAAAGCTTCAGAATCGCTTTAACAACACGTTGCCGTGTGGCGTTCAAAGCTCAAATACCGAGGAGTTGGCTTGACAGAGTCTCCGCTGTCAACTGCTGTGGCTCCTGGAAGAGAGCTTTAATCTCTTGGTTTTTAAAAAAATAATTTGTGCGTTTCGAAAGGTGACAACACGCCTTTTAAGGCAGCATGCAGCCAGCGTTGCAGATGGGATATTGTGTACACTGATCTGGTGACACAGAACTAAGAAAACAAAATTGCAGGGAATGTGGATTTGCTAGGGACTTATATTATTTTTTCAGGCTTGATATTAAGTGAAAAACTGTGTGTGCATGCAGGAATGGGATGGGAATGGGATAGGATAGGGACCTTAGAGATCTTCTAGTCCAGCCCCCTGCTCAAGCAGAACCTATAACTGTGATTGCCTACCTATGGCACAAGTGCCACAGGTGGCACATGGAGTCATCTCTGTGGGCACGTGAGCCGTTGCCCAGGTCAGCTCTACTGCACATGCATGCACACCTCCCGCCAGCCAGTCAATTTTCGGGTCTCTGCTGCGAGATGCAAACATGCGCGGGGGAGGGGGGTGCAGTGCCCCCCCCTGTGCCCCATTTTTGGTCCCAGGAAGCCTTAGGGAGGCCTGCTAGCACCAAAACGGGGGTTGCGCATGCATGCACAAGGGGTTTGCATATGCATACGTGGGCCGGTGCCTGCGGGGGGCATTGCATTATGGGTGTCAGCACCACACACATGCTATATCACGCGCAAAGCGTGCTTTCGGCACCCAAGGAAAAAAAGGTTCGCCATCACTGACCTATACCATTTCAGACAAGTGACTATCCAGTCCAGGGGTCTCCAACCTTGGCAACTTTAAGACTTGTGGACTTCAACTCCCAGAGTTCCTCACCCAGCTTTGTTTTGCTGGTTGAGGAATTCTGGGAGTTGAAGTCCACAAGTCTTAAAGTTGTCATGGTTGGAGACCCCTGATCCAATCTCTTCTTAAAAACCTCCAGTAATGAAGTGCCCATGATTTCTGAAGGCAAGCTGTTCCACTGGTTGATTGTCCTCACTGTTCCGAAGTTTCTTCTTAATTCCAGGTTGCTTTTCTCTTTGAATAGATGCTGTTCTTGTGGTTGTGGTGAAAAATTAAAAATGTACATTTTCTGAGATGATGTGAAGGAAGCATTATACAAAATTAGAAAAGTTAGATTTTATTTGATGAAATCAAGTGATTAAACATCTATGGAAATTCTCAACATCCAGGTCCTGCAGGTCCCAAAGGTTATTTTCAAAAGACTTTCCTGTTTTTTTCATTGAAAAACTGAAGAAGCTTCTTGGATGAGAAGCGAAATGTTTTCATGGGGGGGGGGGGGACACAAGAAAATATAGTGCCTTTTGAAAAACACACTTGAGAAGATGTTAAACAGGAATTTAATTCCTTTATTCTAAAAAACAGTTTTTATCAACTTAAATGTATTCCCTGTTTTGTGATGCTTTTATTTTTACTGTTTCTTTTATTCAGGCTAAGAAAACTTTATTTTAAAATCTTTATTTCCAGTTTTTATACCTGAATGAAATTTTTATGGCTTAAATATAGAAGGAATTAGTAGCTCATGTGTTATTACAATGTTATTTTAGGATTCTTTGGCTGGTTCCTGTTTAACATATCTGCTGGAATTTTACTTGTAGATCCCTGTCAGGTTATTGCATGTCAAAAATGACACTCTTCTGTAGTTAATTTATTCTATGTACATCAAATGATGGTCATGTCAATCTAAAGTAGTCTTTGAACTGAATATACTTTTTATTTCTGATCAATGATTGTGATAATAGGAATTGAAAATGAGAACAGGAGCTGTTTTGTCACATAGTTTTATTTTCCCTAAAGAATTTTTTAGCATTTTTATATTATGGTACATTTAATATTCTTAAGAAGAAATCTTTGGCTTGACCTGCTGGCCCAAAGTGGAGGAGAGATTAAATGCATCTTTGCACTAGACAAGCATTTTTGAAAAAATGTCTTCACGAATATGTTTGTATACATTGTTTATTGCTGGTATTGAGCAGGTGGAAAATGCAATCTTTCTAAATATTGTAGCTCTTATGCAAACCATAACTTTGAAGCTGCTATTTGCATATAAAGAAGCAGTCCTCTGGATTTTATTGAATAGTTAATACTCTGACCCTGTTTTGGTCTTGAAATGTGATATGTATGAATAATTTTGGTTCATTTTCCTAGGGATTTTGTCCTACTTCTCTTGATAATGTGATCTAGAAAAGGTAGAAGCTAGTGAAGCTATATAAATCCAGTGACTCCTGCGCTTCAAATGCAAGGCCTATTGATAATGAAATCAAGGTTAAATTCTTGTGTTGCTTCCTTTTGCCTCTGTAGTCTAACTAATATAACTACTTTTATTGGGATGGGAGGGACAGTTTCCACCTGCTGTTGTTTGGACTAATCTGATGTCAGACTGTTTACTTCTGATCTTATGACAACTATCTTCAACAGACTTTGAAAAATGTATAGCAGAACAGGATAAATCTTGTCAGAGTCCATTTTTATAATAGCGTACAGAAAAACGATTAATTTTTGTTTCAATGAAATGTGTTATTCTCTTTTCCAGGTGTTGAGTGGGGGCTAATCTTTCCTGATGCAAATGGGGAATATCAATCTCCTATTAATTTGAATTCAAGAGAGGCCAAATATGACCCATTGTTACTGGAAGTACACTTATCACCAAATTATGTTGTATGCCGTGATTGTGAGATCCTCAATGACGGACACTCAATTCAGATCCTCTTAAAGACCAAATCAAGTATGCTTTCTTTACTACTTCCTTCCCTTGTTTGCTTTAGAATAAACTTTATTTATTTATTTATTTATTTATTGGGTTTGTATGGCGCCCACTCTAGAGAGACTCAGCGCGGCTTACAGATAAAAAGGAAAGGGGAACATACAAAAACTAAAAAAACAACATTAAAATTCCACAACATTCATAGCTTGGGATGGGGCTGGAAAGATCAACAGCCCCAGGCCTGCCGGAACAGCCAGGTCTTGGTCGCTTTGCGGAAGGCCGGAAGGGTAGTAAGGGTCCGGATCTCCACGGGAAGATCATTCCATAGGGCCGGAACAGCTACAGAGAAGGCCCTCCCCCCGGGGAGTTGCCAGCCGACATTGACCGGCAGATGGAATCCGAAGGAGGCCTAGTCTGTGGGATCATATGG